CCAGACCAAGCATCTGAAACAGACACAAAATGAACACTCATTGGACACTGAATGGAACACATTGAGCCCGTTTTAATTCGATTACTTAAATTAAAAAGGTTTACCTGAGCAGCAATTCCAATCCTGCCCTCATTCAACATTCCAATAGCGTACTTGTATCCATGACCAATCTGCCCCAAAATGTTCTTCTCTGGTACCTGCAACAAAAAAGCAAGGACTTAGTCAAAGTCACAGTGTGCATATCTTAATGGAGCAGTAAAAGGTGTTCTGTGTTACCTTGACATTGTCAAAGTTGAGCGGGCAGGTGGAGGATGAACGCAGGCCGAGCTTGTTCTCCTTCTTGCCAATCTCAAGCCCCTCTGTGTCCCGGTCCACGATGAAGCAGGTGATGCCTTTGTACCCCTGTCAAACCAAAGGGAGTTTTTTCTTCACATTTTGTTGAACATAGCAGCACCATCTTTTTTAGTTAGAGAGGTCTCAGTTTAAATGTGACAATTTCAGTGTGATTTGGCTAGTTTGTATTACATGTTAACAATCGCTATCAAGAGCTCAAATGCATTTAAGATATGAGGGAAAATCTGATTTCTTTGCGACGTGAGATGATGAAATAAGGTATATTTAAATTAAGACTTTCCTAGAGAAATACTATCAAATGTTTTATGCTGAAAAAATTGAACAAGAATAAAAAGATGTGTAGTTACTCACAGCAGAGGGGTCTACATTGGCCATGACCAGGAAGACACCTGCATGCTCTGCATTGCTGATCCACATCTTGGAACCATTGATGATGTAATAGTCCTTGTGTTTTTCAGCACGTGTCTTCAGAGAGAAGGCATCACTCCCCGACTCTGCTTCAGAGAGGCAGAAGCTTCCAACCTGTGTGACATGAAACAGGCAGTATAATGGAATTCAGAGAAGCTTAGTGTTATATATACACTGAGAGCCAGTATGTCACACAGTCCTCACCATGTCAGTGGACAGTCGGCTGAGGTAATGCTCTTTCTGAGCTGCTGTACCCAGGTTGCTAAACAGTGTGTTGATCAGTGTGTTCTGGATGTCACAGAGCACTGCTACAGAGGGGTCCACCTTCGCCAGCTCCTCGATGACCAGAATGGAAGAGAAGAAGGTGGAGCCAGTGCCGTTGTACTCTGGTTCAATCTCAATGCCCATGAGCTGTACAAGTAAATTCAACATCAGAGTCAGTGGATAGAAAGAAAACACTGGATTATGCATAATGTGTGTTAATTCATAATTTAACAAATTACATACACCCTGTTCAAAGAGAGATGTCAGGACTTCCTGGTCCATTGCAGAGTTTTCATCCATCTTTGACACAAACGGAGCAATGCGTTCTTGTGCATATTTTTTAACTGTTGAAGAACAAAACACATGTAAAGAGTTTAAGGGAATTTCTGTCTCCAGCTGTCAGCATCAACAGATCACGTGTCCAGCAGATGTCCAGCTCACCTGCTTCCTTCATCATGCTCTCCTCCTCTGAAAAGGTTTGAAGGGGAGGAAAGGAGACAACCCCCTGGTCTGTGGATGTTTCTGTGGCAGGATGGGTAGACCTGCTCCTCCATCCAGCCTGACATGCACCCCATGGTCGACAGATCTGTCTGCATGACTGAAACCAGAACAGACAACAGTGTTTTAAATGTATATATGTGTACTGAAGTTAATGCAAGCTTTGAACAAGGGTGCGACACAGCCATGTCGGCCATTATTCACCACCAATATGAAGTTGATGAATTATTTCAGTGATACTCGTTTGTGTTTTATGATAGCATTAGCAGTATGCTAACAACATCAACATCGTCATAAGAGCCAGTCGGGTGATGTGACGTAGTTCAAGGATAAGGGATTTATACAGAGGAAAGTATTTTAAAAATCAGTGTCGAAACAAGACAAATGTTATAAACTGGGACAATAGTATTCAGTCTCACCTTTGAGAAAATCCTGACCAGTGGTGCCATGACTTCTTACGAAATGTGATGTGATGCTGCTTTCAAGTGCCTCATATGACAATCGGACACTCAAATTGTATGGTCAATGCGTGACTGCGAAAACTGTTAAGTAAGTACAGCACAATCAACCAATCAGGATGCCCTTTAATAGGTTTAAACAAAAACAAAATATGGGAGTGCTTTACTGTGTGTGAAAGAAAGGCATGCTAATTTTGAATATATGATGTGTTTTACTGAATTAAAGACCGGGTCATAGCTACAGTGAATACATGAATGGGACGAAATCCAGCTTCGTGGGAACCCGGATAAAACAAAACATTCTAAAAGGTATTTGAGAAATGTATCCCACAGTTTATTTTATAATATGATCGTCTTTTGTAAAGGTCAATATGTAAACAATGTTTTACCTACAGTACATGAAGGCAGCAGATGCGTTTCCGGGGACACGGAAAACTGACGTTTCAGCTAAAACGGAAGCTTTCACCTGTTAACAATCCAGGGCCCACTTTTCCCCTTTTTTTCTGCTTAGCGATAATGTTACTTTGACGCTGAAAGGTTGGATAAGAACTGCGTGACGGATAGCGTTAGATAATCGTTTTTAATAATTAGGAAAAGTACGATAAAGGGTCGAGCTAGCTCAGCTGGGCAATGTTAGCATTGTTGTTGCTATGAGCTAACAATCAACATAGGCTGCTAACGTCTTTTCACTTACCTACTGAAGGATATCAGCAGTACAAGTTGCTGAGCTCTACACTATTCCTCTGGGGTAATTCCAGGTTCAACACAGAAGGAGGATGGAAGAGATAAAAACCGAGCCTGTGGATTTTGTAAAGGAATTTCAAGAATACCTGACACAACAAACTCAGCATGTCAACATGATCTCAGGCTCTGTTTGTGGTGAAAAGGAGTCAGAGCAGCCCTTTCAAGCAGGTAGGATTTGAGTACAATTCATTATAAACCGATATTTTTGTTAAAGGTAAAATACTAAAGTCATTGTGTGTCTGGTTTTAGTTGCCCCCAGGAGTGAGCAGAACGGTCTGGATCCTCCCTCGGTGGAGGTGAGCCTACCTGTCGAGGATGGGCCAGAAGTTCAGATAGACGGCCTAGAAAGGACCATCGATGGGAAATACAAGTGTAGCTATTGCAACTACGCAAACAAAGGCATGGCTCGTTTAATAGAGCACACCCGCATCCACACAGGTCAGTGTTAACATTGCATTCATTCATAAGGGTAACACCATGTCTAAACATCTATCTGCATCACAGATCATTCATGGTGAACACCCTTTTTAGTGAAAAGAACAATGCTGTATAAGGTATGATTGAATCAGAAGGTCCCCTGCATAAGTAAAGGATGGAAAATACATTTTAAAACAGCAACATTGTGCGAGTCTCTTCAAGATTTCAAAGCTTTTATTGTCATATGCACATAAGCTACAATGTAGAAATGGCAATGAAATTCTTCTGAAATTACATTTTGATTTAATCGGCTCTGCTCTTTACTTCCTGACATATTTTGTATTAGTCACTTGTGAGAATATTCACACTTACCCTGTTAACGAAACTTCAACACGATCGTCTAACTATTCATTTTTAATGTTTGCATTGACCTCAAATCCTAAATATTCCCATCACTAATCATCAAGTCCTTTACTGTTCAATCTCTTGTACTGAACACATAAAACACTCATACTTAGAACCTAACTGCTGACTCTTTCACAATAAAGTTTGTTTGATTATAACCACATTATTTTTGCTCTTAATTTCTTCCCTAGGAGAAAAGCCTCATCGCTGCCAGCTGTGCCCGTTTGCTTCAGCGTACGAGCGCCACTTGGAAGCCCACATGCGCTCGCACACAGGGGAGAAGCCGTACAAATGTGACCTCTGCGCCTTCTGCTGTAGTGACCGCAGCAACCTGTCTCACCACCGCCGCCGCCGCCACAAGCTCCTCCCAACGAGGGCCGTCCGCTCCCCGTTCACCAATAAGAGAATGCTGACCTCCCTGCAGAAGAGGACCGGCTCACCGGGCTTCACCAGGCGACTACTCATCAACTTAAACTCTCACTCCATGGCGATGCCAAAATCAGATTATCTGAATAACTTTTCTCACAAGATCCATCACAATTTGAACAGCAGTGAGAACTTGGATGAGAATGACCGTCACAACAGAGGTGCTAATGGTTTCACTTTTACTAACCCACTGGACCAGTTGTCTACACTTGCCGGCCAGTTAGCAGACCTCCATCCTCGTGCATCCCCAGACAGAGAGTCCTTTAAAGACGAGAAGCCCATCATCATTCACCAGATCTCTAGTGAACCTATAGCGATGTGTTCAAATCAAGTGCAGACTTCACCTCCTAAAAATGAATCTCCCACCTCAGGCTGCAGGAGTTACAGTCCTGTTCCCGGCCTGGGCTTTGACAACAGCATGAACACTCTTACTGCGAGTGTTAGCAGCCAGCCGAGCTCACCTCCCCCTGCCCTAACCACATCCGAGCAACTGCTGTTAAATAAGTGCGAGCACTGTGATATTCACTTTCAGGATTATATCCTCTACACCATTCACATGGGCTGCCATGGCTACGAGCACCCATTCCAGTGTAACATCTGTGGGCACATGTGCACTGACAAATACGACTTTTCATGCCATTTTGCCCGTGGACAACATAAAAAGTGATTCCTAGCATTCCTTCATAATGGAGTCTTGAATCCTTACTTATTGTATTGCATCAAGGTGACTGATTTACATTTTAAATTTGTTTTCTTATGAAGAGTTTTAAAATTCCCTTTTTTTTAATACTAAATTTATTGTTGCCTTACTGCAGTTCTACATGGCTTTAAGCTTTTCATATTAGTTTTGAACATACCAACAGTAACATCTTGCAACAGTTTTACAGTAAAACATATATTGAAGCTCTCTAAATTGTCTTTTCAACTCATCCTACAGTCAGTATTACATTACATGTCACTTGTTAGATGCCTTTATCCAAAGTGACTTACATACTCAATACTGTGGGCAATCCCCACAGGAGCAATTTGGGGTGAAGTGTCTCAGGGACACAACGACATGCTGACTGCAGTGGGGTTTGAACACAACCCACTGCACCACACGTCTCCCAGTATAAGAAAGGGCATTGTGACCACTGTCCTTCTGTGCCATTGCAGCTGCTTGTGTTTGATAGATTATGTTGTCTCATTACTCTGCAGTAATTACCTTACACATAGGCGGTTATATATGAGACATTTATGAAATACCAACAGTGTTTAACATAAAAAATGATGAGCTTCGCCACAGTTTGCCATTCATCAAGGTGCTTTTTATCTAATTAGTAATTATACACCAAGGTTTTCACCTCAGTTGAACTGGCTGGATATATTTTACTGAAAGAAACTGAAGTGCGACTGAACAAATAATTGTCAAATGTTCTGTTCAAATCACACGTTTGTTTCTGCTTCCTGTTCTGATATTTACAGCTCATTTAACAGACTGCAGAAGATAGATTTCAATATCCTTTTCTTGTTACTTATTTATTCCCATAAAACAATTTTATATTTATCTTTTTTATTTAGTAGTTTTTTCTAACACATTTTAGGACAAGTCTAATTTCACTGTAGTTGCTGTGTATAGTAGATGTTAAGACACTGTTGAGGTCTCTGTGACTCCCATGATATAATGGGATGTAATAATAATTTATATTTTAATGAATAGCTTTTTCATTGTGTGAATCATGGTCTAAAGTTAAGACAGGGTAACTTGTTTGTTTGTGATTATCTTTGTATGAACAGGCAGTAAACATCTGAGATCAATGGGTTTTTATGTCTTTAGTCATAAGTAAGTATAGAATTTGTTTACTGACCCCATATTCCAGTGATGTGTAAATTGGCTTTGAAGGGAGATTAATAAAAAATATATATAACTTACTCTGAAAATGCATACATTTTCTTTGTTTGACTTAGTGCCTCAATCACCAGCAAAAGTACATTTAATGAACATGAAATAATTACAGTGTCTTGCATTTACTTGTGTTTTTGAAGCAATTAAATCTGCCTTTGTGAAAATTCAAACAAGTTCAAATCATTTATTTTCATTTATGATTCTCAACAGGATTTCCTTTTTCTCGTGATCAAAAACATCCACTGCTCTTTCCACCACACGTTCCACATCAATGTCCTCTTCTTCGGTGAAAGACGCTTCCTCTAGAAACTGTCTCCGCAGGTTGTGAAGAAACGTTGCTTTAGACTGGTTCAGCTGAGCGGCCAAAGACCTCATGTGCTCAGGGGCGACTTGATTCTCTGGAATTAAGGGGACACAATTATCAAAACAATGTGTGTTAGAGCCAGTATTTTGTTTTTATAAGAAAGGCCACCTAATCGTGACGTCTGTAGTCAACCAGAGTATAAAAGACTACAATTCCCACGGCGCCTCCTCTAAAGTGACAGTGATGGGCGGAAAGACACCGTCGAGGCACCGTTTTTAACCGTTCAATTACCCTTTAAGTTATGAAGTTATATAAGCTTTAACAAAGAAAGAAATCAAAAAACAATACCTAAGTTGTTTGTTATTTTATTTGAGTTTTGCCTCTTGTTTTGACTATTGTAAAGTTACATGTGTAAAAGTGTGTTATTTTATTTTGAGCAAACCCATTGCATAATATCATCCAAACCATCGGAGGCCAAGCAACTCATCAACTGTAAGTAACACAAATATAAAGGAAAGACAAACGAGTCAGAAATGTCTGTTTAAGGCGTCGAGTGGCTTGATAGAAAACAAGGAAGGAAACCACGACAATTTGCTCCAATTGACAAACTATTTGAAATGTGTGGTATTAATGATGAGGCTCACACACAACTGACCTCTGGCAGTCCTCATGGCTTCAGATATACGGCGTCGACAGGCCTGGTCAGTCTGATGGACAACACTAGAGGCACACTTCAGGCGGTCTGCCTCCTGAACAGCATGAGACCACAAAAAGAGCTGAACTCTTAAGGCGAATATACTGACAGATGATTTTAACATTATTCTCATTTCTTTGTCAAACTTTATGATCATGGTAGGAGGGAAGACGTTTTCTTAAATCTGTAGATTATAATCTGTAAGAGCATGAAACCACTTGATTGAAAAGTTTTCTTGGTAAACATGCATTTAACAAATAAAGTCCTGCTTTTTGAAACTTGCAACTACTGGCTATTCTGCACCATTTTGATTAATTGTTCAGCCCTTACTGCAACACAAACGCATGTAAAGTGGCATCATTTGCTTTCATTATTACGATGACGTACCTGTTGTTCTGTGTTGTCTTCAGCCGGGCTCAGTGGGTTGCTCAGGGCAGAGGAGATCAACTCCACCACCCTCTGCCTGAGCACAAGCCAGACAGGGAAAGAAATGGCAACAAATGAATACTTATTTATGTTTTTGAAATACAGTAATTGGTGGTAATAACTCGGCCGTCTTACATGTCACATTCGGAAAAATCGTCTGTGGTGTTGAGTGAAATGCTGTTAGTCTCCCATGAGTTCTTCTGTGGATTTGGAGACTCCAGGCGCTTCACCATGTCCAATATCACTTCAGTGGGAATGGGTTTAGACCTGCTCTGGTTTCTGCTGATGCAGGACTCCAGATCACACTGCAGATACACCTGGCAGAAACCCAGCGAATCTAAAAAAAACAAACAGTCTGTCAAATTAATTAAATGGCCTAAATCTTGCAAAATTACCAGTGTTGCCCTTCATGACAGTTCATTTAGCGGTCTATGCTGTAGACAGAAAGTGCTTACACTTTCTTGCAAGTTGGTACACTTCATATCTCATGCTTGGATAGTAGAAGTTGTCATCCAGTAGAAAGAGGAGTGGTGCCCGGTCAGCCTGTGAGCGGTCCTCAGCTCCAGGCTGTATCAGAGGGAGGATGCATTGATCCCATGCTGCCCTGTTGATCTGACAGCTGCTCGGAAGCTCTGCCAAAACTCCAGGCTTCTCCAAGAACTGCTCGATGCACTGCAAAACTGCCTGTCTGTGTACCTTCCATTCAGTGTGCTAAAGAGAGGGAAAGAGTCAATCAATGACACCTTTTTAATGCATGCTGGAAATATGAAATTGTATTGTAATAATGGCACAATGCATTATGGACAAAACTAAAACCCAAAGGATGAAAATACCTATCATACTTTTCAGTGACTACATGTGTCTTAGTAAGCGTTTGGTCGATACAATGTCAGAGCCTGAGTTGTCAAACAATTCGAAACCCAAAGTTCCTGTTGAATGTAAAACAAACCAGCAAAAATGTTGCCTTTTTTACTCTTTTTCCGTGTAATCTACTATCGTACCCTTGAAATCGTTAATAAACGTATTCTTCTTGTAATACAAGAATACTACTCTACTAGTTCTGGAAACAGTGTCATTACATGGCACTTTACATGGGTTTTTTGGGGGGGTTATATGAGATGGGACCAATGAAGCTTATCCATCTTTATTACTTCTTGCAGTTTGACACCGTCTTCCTCCCCTCTGGTCTGAAACGCTTGCTCGGGGATCAGGTCATCATACGGCACAACGCTGGCTCTCCAGCCGCGCTGTGCAGCGGAGCGGAGGACTCTGCCGGCCAGAGAGGACTTCCCGGCAGCAGGGAGCCCGCAGAGGACACACAGGCAGGCCGGAGTCCGGGACAAACCTCCGGCTTCCTCCGCTGCCATGAGCTACCGGACTGCCGCCTTAAAGTTCATATTTTGTACATGTTGTGGCTATGGGTGGTTGCAGTTGACAGCTAACTTCCGCATCCTTCGACCTCAAAACACTAGTAAACATGTGACTTCCGGCCAAAACCCTTTCAAAATAAAAAGCAAAGGGAGCAAGTTCTACTTAATTGAAGTTATATGTTAAATTAGGCAAATGTACAGTTGTACTAGATGGAAAGTATGGTCATGTGATTGAAATAAATATTTGCATATGTTGTGGCTATGGGTGGTTGCAGTTGACAGCTAACTTCCGCATCCTTCGACCTCAAAATAAATACATATTTGCATATATGTTAAAATATGTTTTGGCTATGGGTGGTTGCAGTTGACAGCTAACTTCCGCATCCTTCGACCTCAAAACACTAAGTTTCGGGCCGAAATCCTTTCAAAATAAAAGGCAAAGGGAGAAAGTTCTGCTTAATTGAGGTTATGTGTTAACATTTAATTAGGCTAATTTACAGGTGTACTAGATGGAAAGTGTGGTCATGTGATTGAAATAAATATTTGCATATATTGAGAAGTTAGGTAATTTACATTTTGTAGAAAAAAAAACCCTCTATGCTTCTTAAACAAAATGTTTGCTTTTTCTCGTCTTGAAATAAATATTTTTCACTTTTTAAAAAGCCTTCAAATGAAACAAGAAGGACAGTCCCTTTGACTGTGCTTCTAACAATTCATGTCCATACTGAGGCTATGGTTAGGGGTAGGCAGAAAATGACTTAAGGGTCACAGGTGAAAAAATATTCAGAAGCACTAGTTCAATGACTGTCAGATCTCAGTTTAAAAAATGAATAATTTCAAACCAGCTCATTGGAAAAGCATTGTGCAGGTGATTCATGCCAAAAAGCATGATTGTTGGTTTAAGTCATTCTTTATTCTGAGAGAGCACATAGCTAAGTGTCTTAACTGTCAACACGTGCAAATCAAGGAGAAGCAATGCCCTGATAGATTTCTTTATTTGGTTAACATTCACAACATCTTTATAATATTTTAATACATATCCAATATAAAATACAAAATGTTTAGTGATATATTTAAAAATATTGTAAAAGACATATTCCAATATATATTAACTTGTCTGCAAGCCTCATCTACCACCAAAGTATTACAGTCAAACTTAAAATAGGTGCAAGTCAAAATGAATCTTGTTCTTAAAATGTCTTTTCATACAGTGTCGAGCCATGGTAAACTCCATACATTCACAATACAATTTAAAACTATGTAGTATAAAAAGCAGATCAACTTGGGGGTGGTGGCCTGGGTGGGGCTGGTCTGGGGACTCCGGGGCCCTGTCTGGGAGCTGGGGTTTTGGCAGTGGCAGAGCTTGAGTTGTCATTCCAATAATCCAGTTCTCCGTACCTAAAACTAACAAGTTGTGTGACAATTCTGTTAGACCGGTTATACAGGCGTTCCTTTGAATAAAAAGCTCTAATAGCAACCTGTGTATGAAGGCAATATTGAAATAAAAATGTTCTTACCCAGAAATTGGAAGTGAGGTTTCTGATGGTTGTCCAGGCTGGAATTAGAAGAAAAAATTACTTAAAATCCGAACTTCTGAAACCAAAACATTCACCTCTTTTGTTTCTGACATTTGTTTCCTTTTCTGGATCAAGTCTGCAGTAACCACGGTCATCGTTGTTTTACTTTTACAGCATAACCCGTCTTTTCAAAGTTCTTCAATCTAATTACACAACACAAAAATAGAACTGTATGTTTTTAATTTGAGATATAAATGATAAATGTATTTTAATGAAGGAATAGATTTTCATGACAATGTACATTTCCACTTCTCCCTAACTTCCACAAATTCTAATTCCTCAAATTCTAATTCCTCAAGCCTGGTGTAGATGAGTCTTTCTATTATATGTTTTCATCAGCATTCTTTTTATATATGTGTGGATGTTAAATTCAGAAGTCCAAAGAGGAGTTTGTTCCAATTAAAAGTATATTTTTCTCCCATATATAAATCACCAATTCTCTATAAATCTTTCACCAAAAAGTATATACATTTAGACATCTGTTTATTTTGATAAACGTGTCTCTTTTTTATTTTGCACACATTTTCAGCTGTTGAATTAACAATGCACTGCTTTCCCTACAGTGATGATGATCAAGAAAAAGAACAAATATTTACCCCCACAGGAGGAGCTTGTACTTGAGGCTGTGTCGCGGCACTTGTGGGAACATTTCCGTTTGCCTGCCCATTTCCATTTTGAGCATCACGTGATCTAAGAAAGCAAAACATTTATGAGAAGCACAAATATATTCAGCAAGATATAAACCTTTGCAACTGTAGACTTTAAAATATCCATCTTTATGTGAGCTGATGTTTACTTTTTGCCTCTGTTAAGACACCGGTCCAGGGAGTCCCTCCTGAAGAAGTAGAGCAGCACCAGAACCAGAAGAACCAGAAGAGGAACGACCAACAGGAAGAAGATCAACAGGCCGTCTCGGAGGGAGTGGTCTGAGGTGGGAAAGGTCATAATAACAATTAGAACAGTGTATTTAGTTACACCAAATAGTCAACATGTATTCCTAACAGATAACATCAGCTATTTTTCGTCTTAGCAGGACATTTCCCCCCCCCCCAAACATGACACTACAAGAATATGATAGACACCACTTATATTAATACCTAAGAGTAGAGGATGGGTGCAAAAACAACAGCTTAGATGTATCATTTACATCTAAGGCCAGTATAACAGCTTAAATATCTGACTCTTTGTAGTTCATTATGAGTAGCATCACAGCATCAGAAGTGATGACAATGAATGAACACTGTGTCTTATTTCTAATGACAGATAATGATGACATTTCAATATTATTTAAATGTTCAAAAACCAAAACAAACTCAAATCTGAGCGACATGACAACACACGTAATAAGGAACCACAGAGTCATGCAGACAGAAGACAGAATGATTAATATATGAGTAATATGAAGCCTATTAAAGGACTACTGTATTAGATTACTGTGTATCAGGTGATGCTTTAAATAACTTAAAGATGACTTCCAAATGTTGCCCCAATTTGGAATGTGGCATTTAAGTAAAGCCAAGTCATATTAGCGCTTTTATATAGGACATTTTAAAACATTAGGAGTTCAACAAAAGTGGAGATTGGTGAATATTTGCCTCAATACAAGTAGTTAAATACATAAAATTTGCTTGGAAAGGAATATTTCATGATTTAATACCTTCCTAAAAGAAAAAAAGGTAAGAATATCAGATACGTATCTACAGTACATCAAATGAAAAAGCAGTATACATTGGAAATAAGTTAAGAGGGAACTTGACAAAAGCTATTGGGGCTGCTGAATTTAAGGGTCTGTAAAATTGATTTAAAACTTGATGGTGGCCTGGGTGCCGCAAAAACCTTTGTCACCTTGGACTTTGAGGCTCGAGTGAGGGACTGAGGGAAGTTGTTGTGAGAATGACCAGAGCGAACTGGCGGCAGGTTAGGGGAACTGCATAGTGCCTTTGAATTTGTGTGTACAGACTGATGATATAAACTCACCTATCTGAGCAGGGCCGCTATCTATGCTGCCACCTCGCCCGGATCTGTCACATTTAGGCGGGGCCCACCCATTTTTACAGTGGCAGTGCCCTTGGTCATTACACACCTGGAGAAAACAATATAACAGCCGAGTCAGACCTGTTATTATGGGCTTTGAATTTTATTTTTTATTTTTAAATGCTGCCTCACCCCTTGGCCGTTGCAGGTGGTCTGGGCATCACAGTCCAAGTCGGGCCTCAGATTAGAGGCATTTTGACACTTAAAGTCCATGCAGGTCTAAGAGAAAGAATACTAATTATAATGTATTGGTGCACCAAATTGAATCACTTGGCATCATTGTGTCCACTCCCACATTACTTTTCTGTACTGGAACAAAATCACATTTGTTCCTGGTCACATTCCTACCTTGGCGTGAACACTTCTTAAAATAGCTTGTCTGTTTACCTTTCCTTCCTCACAAGGGCTGCCAGAGTTAACGTAGGCCGGATCTAGCACATCAGTGCCGAGGTTGAAGTCGGCATTAATACACTTTGATTCTTTAATGTCCTCAATACTGACTGTGGCACCAAAAGGGATGGTGCTGAGGTCCACGTTGACACACTGCAACTTTCCACACATGGAATGTCTGCAGAGCAGGTTCAAGAAAACAGTCATACAATTAAATTCCGTTTTCTTTATGCTGTATGTATCCATAGTGAATCATCAATCATTCAATTATAAAAAATCTTGTACTTACGCTAAACTACATTTAGCGCCGTTTCCACAGTTCCCAAATCTATCTCCCCTCATATTAATAGTCTTAAAACAAACATCGTCTGCCTTTGTTGCTGGATCTGCCAAAAAGAGAAAACATATCCATGATCATGACTACACAAACCTGATATCTTATAGAGTTCAACTAAATGAAACAGACTTCGTATATAGCATTATTGAATATACCTGGCGCAAAGAGATGTTTGCACTGGAAATCATACGTCTGGCATCGGCCTTCAAAGCAGTACGCTGAAGCTCCACTGTATTCACAGGGCAGGCTGTCCATGAGATAGAAGTCCTCTGGGCAGAGCGGAGTCTTGCCATCACAGTATTCAGAAAGATCACAGGTGTTAACAGACCCTCTGCATGGCGTTCCAGCAACTCTGATCTAAAACAAATCCAATCACATACAGCAATATGAAAGACACACCTTTCTTTCTTTTAAAAGTACAAAGAACGTTTTGTCCGAGGAGCTGTTAATTGCCTATTTTCCTTAAAGTCATAAGCTAAATAACTCCTCAAGTCCAACTAAAGACTGACCTGACAGTTGTCGCAGCAGAGCCCCTGAGCACAGGCAGCCCCCGAGTTGAGTTTGCAGGTGGCAGGGTTACAGCATTTATTGTCACATTCCTGTATGATATGAAAACGGAGAGAACTTTGGTCACCACCACATTTAAAGTTTAAAATCGTACTAAAATATGTATTTTAATGAGGTTGTTACATAACGTGTATTTATAATCTGTAAAGCTGACACTAGAAATGTGTTAGTGTTACATGTTAAAGATATGAATCTGTACATAAACTGATTTGTAACTTTTTGTGTGTGTGTGAGAATCTTTAGCAGCAGGACTTTACCTCTGCTGTGCCACAGTCACATTCCTCTCCTTTGTCAAGCCGGCCATTGCCACACACAGCGACACCGACCACATCTGATGGGGAGGGCTGGTTTTTCAAACACGTGCCGCCTCCACGAAGGATCAGCTTCTCAAAGTCTTCTCCACTGCAGCTGCTGAACATCGGGGAACCACTATAGGTTGGAAGGATAAACCATTAATGTACAAATCCAATTGGACAGGCCTCACAATACAATACAGCTTTATTTATAAAGCACTTTAAAACCTCCAGGCCAAAGTGATGTACAGTCAAATAAACAAACAAAAACAGAAAAAAAATCACACAGCACAGCTCAAACACACCATAAAAAAAAAATGTCAGCATAAAGTGTGCATATTGTGAAATCATATTAGGCTTCATGATCTCCATCCTTGAAAGTGCATTAAAAAGGTCATACATTTGCTTCTTATACTCCATTATATGGAAGGATCAAGTCCTTTACAGTAAAAACATAGACCTTATACATTTATCCTAATAGAAAACATAAAGACAGCCATCTGCTAGTTTTCACACCACAAAAAACACTTCTTAATTTAAGGGTAGATACACTGTCTATGTAAAGCACTCAGATTACACCATATTATTTCAACTACTTGTTGTTTAATTTCATGTCAAGGAGTTAATAAATATTTTGTGAGAGTTGTGTTACCCAGTAGCGGCCCCCATGATGCAGCCTTTTGTATCGCAGGAGCAGCCTGCTCTGTCGTGGTTCATGCCCAGGTTATGGCCCATCTCATGAGCCACCACAGCGGAGGCAGCAGGCAAATTGTTGTGATTGAACTGAGAAAGCACCCAGTGCAAAACAAAGTAAAAGAGATATGAGTGTATTTTTAGGTCAGAGTGTAGGGAAACATTTCAGGTTATTCAATTAAGTTATCAATTGTTGAATCAAGATACTGTATTGTAGATCTTGCATTAGGGAATCTTTCAAAAGTGTAAACTTCATGAATTGGATATTATTTGGAATAATTAAATAAAGAAAAAAAAGGAAAAAGAAAGCACCAGATGTAAAAACAAAAATATTCTATTTTTTGTTAATCAGGAAGTAAATATAATTCATATTTCAACATTTTAAATGGCATAATGCTAAATGTCACTCTTAAAAGTAAATTCTCATTCAAGTGGCATTCAAAATAGTTGAATAATAATCCCTCCTTCTAGTGTGATTTTTAAGAATATTTAAACACTGTAAGGCATCACAATGCAAAACTTTTTACGGTATTCAGTCAGCCAAATAAAGTTGCCTTGTCATTGTGTTTAGCAAGACTGTTCAAGTCTAACCTGTTTGACTCCTTTGTTATTTAGAGCTGCACTTAAAGAACAACCCATGAATAATACAGAAGGTATCTGTTTCTGTATGGTGTTAAAAGTTAAAAGGGAGTTGAACTAACCACGTTGATTCCTCCAGAAGTTGCTGTGGAGCAGACTGTGCCCACGAAGGCCATACCCACTACGTTTCCATATGTCTTGGGCCTACCACTGAAGGGGACCAAGAGATAGATCACAAACTTTACTCTTCATGTAATATGCCGTCATCATATAAGTAAAAAAAAGCCAGAAAACACATGTCACTTACATAATAAGTTGTCCAATGTCATGCCTGATCTTTGGTAATAGCGTTGTCTTCCTCCACTTGACAAACTTTCCCAACACAGCTCCTGCAGAGCCTGTCTCCACGTCAAAGGGATTTGTGTCCTTAAAAATCTCCAGGCCCACCAGCACCACACGGATATTCAGCTTCTTGTAATACTAGAATAAAACAAAAATTACAAATATAAAGCATAGCACAACCCTCGAACTTATTCAATAATTAAGCGTTCTTTCTTTTGCAAACAACTCAACATCTCACCGCATCCAGTAGATTAGCCATTTCCACCATTTCCTCTCGTACCGCTGTATCGTTTTTCTTCTTATAAATATACTGTAAATACAAATATGAAAGATAATTATTGTAGATAATATTCTGCTCTTATTATCTCCAGCATTGGAAAAGCATAGCGACAAAGTCATGTTGTAGCTAATTAGCAATTACTTACATAAAAGTGAAGACAAAAAAATACACACTCACCCTGAGATTATCGACAACTAGCACAAGCTCCACGTAACTGGTTTGAGGTAAATTGCGCTTCCTCTGTTTAAACAACAAACAGTCAAGAAGGTGAAGCACACATTTAGACACACTTTCAATTTCAAGTCCTGTTTACACTTTAGATATAAGTTCAGGTGAATTTGTAGAGCATCCTAACCCGCAGCAGTGAAGTGAGCGATTGGCCAGGCTCAAAGGGTTCATGGCTTTGCGTTGATGAAGCCTCACTGACGACCCCACAAGTGGTGGGCTCGACCTGAGAGTCATCCAGCAGGTACAGAATGTGCTCATTGGTTGTCGACTGTGGCACAGGTTCAACCCCATAGGTCTCATTTCCAAGAATGATCACACCCCTACAGAGAAATATAGATGAAGTGCACAGTAGACACAACTGTAGGTACACATCTCACTCTGTGTCAGAGCCGGATTGTGGCAATGCATTTAAAAACGTAGTATTACCTGGAAAACTAACTTTGGAAAAGAGAGACTCAGATAGATTTGATGAAATTGGACTGATTCAAACAAATCACCCAAATACACTTCCACATAATCAAAGTAAAAGTCAGAAAAGAGACATGTACAAATTATTGAGGTTCAAAAGGTCAATAACAGTTACTTTATTGCTATCGATCAATAATTTTGAAAATAAATAACATAATTATGATATGTTTTCACTGAAAGACAATCAACGTCAAATCAGAGCCCTTTCTCTATCTCAAAGTAGGAACTAAAAACAGCAAGAGGGATTTTCCAACCTGAGGCCAGAGCATGTGCTGAGCGCTACCAATGAATCCTCATATCCCTCCACCTCTCCGTGGTAATAGCAGTGTACCTGGGGAAAAAAAGAAAAACATGGTTCAAGAATTGAAGTTCAAACAAGGAAAACAGAATGAGCAAGTGTCAACTTACATGCTGTTTTGGATGGGATGATTCAGGGTTACCAGTTGCATCACGTGAAAATTGAACAAAGTTTGGGTGTAAAAAGTCTCTGACAAGAGGAGGAAGAAAATACACAAGATATTTAATCTGAAGCATAACAAGGTCTAAGGTTACTTTACTGTCTCCAATGGGCGACATTTGTTTTGGAGAAAGAAAGTGGCTGCATCAGGAGCAGACAACTCAACAAACGATACATAAAATAAAAATGCATTCTGCAAATATCAGCCTTGAACAACCAGACCACAAACATCTCAAAAACATACACACTTTAGTATATAAAGAACGTGTTAGTGGTGTGAGTATAGACCCATCATCTTCTCTGTTGTCTTAACCAGACCTGAATATTAGATCTGATCAAATTTGAGGTTGCTTGTGAGAACACTCAAATATTTCTATTTTGTTTGCACATTTCACAACAAATTGTTGAGGTTAGGGGCGGAGACAATCGTTTGTAGCCGAAAAAAATCTCTATGCATAGCCTACCTGTTCTTTTTTAGATGAAGGAGGTGCTTCCTGTTGTTAATGTTAAGTGCATATGATATTGCCTCTTCTCCATTTTTCTAAAATGGGAAAGAACAAGGAAGTATTCTTAATTTTCATATCAAACTACTTTAATGTTCAGTTGATATAATGAATCAGGGTTGTTTACAGTACCTACCTCTTGTGACTGTTTTGGTTTGCTGATGCTCCTTGTCAATCTTTGAATCACTTGAGGATTTACAATGGAGTACTTGGAAAGCCCATCGAATATGTCTGGAAGAAAGATGAATAGATGAAAAACTGTTAATACTGTGAGAGTGGTTGAGTCAGGATATTTCTTCTCAGGACGCATTGCACTGATACTATAATTAAACCACATACAAAAAACAATGAATTGTGAAATAGTACTGTGTTTTTAGGTTTCTTCATGTCGATTCAAAACAAAAAAGCAGCTAAGCATACACAATGAAACTCTTCTGTAGACTACAAACAAGTTCAATGGAAAAACAACCACATCAAAACCATCCAACCATCGTTGTCTCGGTTTACAAAAGAAGAAAAACACACCCTATTTCTGCTCCATCGAAGGACTAAAGCTGTATCTTACCTTTGTTTTCAATCCTCGAAATGTAAGACAGCAAGACAACAGCGAACAAAGAGTATTTGCTGTCCATGACTCTGGTTAAAGTGTCAAGATTATTTCCCCATTAGGTCTGCGCTATCATGTCTACTACTAATGTATGCAAGGGTGTGCCTTTGCTTCCTTCTCTGGGTCAGGTGCGTCATGTGGGTGTGGCTAAGGACAGGTGAGCTCCACGGATTCAGAAACCAAATGCAAAGCTGGTTGTAGCTTAATATCTCAGAATTTTGCAAATAGTTGCGCTTTACAATGCTGTAAATGTTAGTGTTAAGTGAACGGTTACACTGCCTAAATGATTTACTTCTATCCTACAGTAAGTGGGTGACTTTCTGTCGCATTCTTTGTTGTCGTTGTTGTTGTTGTACACACAAGTATAAATATATATTGATATAAATATAAAGACTTAGTACGTCTACATAAAAAATAGTATTGGTTTCCAGAGGGCCTTATTCAGAATTTCTGAAAAAATTACTTTTCTATGTCAAAAACAACATTTGCGAGAACTGCATTGGAAATATCGCGTTGTTTTAGAAGTTGAGACGTCACGTCACCCATAGGCGGAAGTGTAATGTTGTTGAACAACGGCACTGTTTTTAGCCATGTTAAGTGCGTTTACCATTAACAAAAAACAACAAATGTTCTTATAATATAAGTTGAAGTTATTTCATATATCAAGCTATCAATCTAAACTACTCGGATAAAGTTTCTGACTTTATTCTGAATTATTTGCCGGTTGTTTTTACACCTAGTTAGCATGTAAGGCAAGCGTTAGCTTACAAGCTATGGTTTGTTGACAATTGTTTCTCGACAGCTTGTCGATTTTTCAATAACTCTATATAATATTAAATTACAAGACATAATGTTCCTGCTTCATTTAGTACTTATCTAACGCTTACAAGTTACGAAACGTCCCATAGTCACCAAACCAGAGAATGGTGTCCCTTTGGTTAACCAAAGCACTATGCGCTTTCTTTAAATAGATTGTTTCATGTATGGCGTCGTACCATATATTAAGATTAACTAACCTATTGAAGAAAGGACTAACCAAGAATCAAGTCTGGACAAAACCACATAACGCCTCAATCGTGGTGTCAGCTCAAGTTGTATTGTGAGTATACATTCATTTTCTTTGTTATGTTTAAAGTGCCAAGACGCACCTTTCTCTCCATTTAATATGGACATGGTCTTATGTGTTGGTTTTTCTTTTGTAGAATGACTGCACTCACAGACTTGGAACCTTTAGCAAAGAGAATCAGGTTTGAAACCAGTGCCCCAACTTCCCTTGCATCTTCCCTCAAAGGTATTTGGATTAGATGCCACTTTAAAAATACACCAAATAAGTCATTAGCTTGGTTTTTGATTTGTAACCCTTTTTTTCAGTCCCAACTTTTAGCTTTAAAATAGGAGATAATGACGCAGTAAATAAAGAAAGAAGGCAACACAACCCACTTAAAAGGATGGATATACGGCCAAAGGCTGGAGCAGATGGTCTGCGAGGCGTAAAGACAAAAGGTAACCATCAAAGAATCGGCCCAAGACAACAACATAATTTAAAAAGTACTCTTGATCAATGGTTGGTTAAGCCCAGAAGAAACCCAAGTACAGCTGACGGATGCCAAATCCAAGAGGATGTAGAGATGGACGGTGATGACAGTGTCTTACAAAGCACCTCAGCTCAGGTTCTAGACTGTACAAAGGCAGAAAAGCCTGCTCTCTCTGATTCGGATGAAGACACCCAGCCCATGACACCACAACACCTGTATGAAGACAATCCAGTCTCCCCAGCCTTCATGGATTCTGCAGAGAGTGAGCATATGCAGACACTGTCCTATAATTATGATACGTTTAAGAAAGAAGAAGTGGAGACATGCTCAGCAACACAATACCAAAATAACAGACTTCTTTTCAGGGACATCATCACCAGATCTGCCTTCAGAGAAACAAGGTGCAGACAAGGAAAATACCTCAGGCAAACCTCATGTCAAATGGCTGGGGACACCAATCAATGATCTCAACAGAATGCCTGAATGTGGGGGGCCGCTTCCACCGCTGAAGGATGTTCCTGGCCAACACACTGTGATGATAAGGGTTGGAGTATTTCTTTCTTCACACTTCAGATGTTTACGTCATTAAAACAACAGCCATTTATCTTGTCAATCTAATGTATTTGCATGTTTCTGAGACAGTGTTCAGAAACAGTTTGTACAAAAAGAATCTGTTTTTGTGTAAACTTGCAAAGGAAAAGTAAAATAAAAAACCTGATCTTTAATATGTATTTTTGAGTGTGTCTGCTTTATATTTTATTGTCATTTGGATAGTTTGTTTTGCACACAGACCACATGCTCTAATGCCATTTGTTTGCATTCACTCCCATTGACAGACGGACCTTCTTCACAATGGTAAAGTACCTGTTCCATATCCTGCTAGGTTTAAGGATACCTGGGATGACATCCATGTCAAGATGCCCTGTTCCAGTTTGAACCTGTTTCCTGTGCATGATGAGGTAATGTATATATATATAAAATGTTTATTGACACGTCAGTATTAAATAACAATTGTAGTAATGGATTATGTTAAAAATATATATGAGTGGCACATTAATGTAAAGTTTTATATGGGCAAGTAAACAGTACATACTATGACTGACCTAAACTATTTTGAAGTCTTTTTGTGAGAACAATAAGGATACTAATATGAGCATTGGTATATTTATTTGTAGTAACTCTCAAGAGTTGTATACTATTTAGTTGCTTACCCATCCACATTACATGTTTCAAATCTGCATGTGCGAGAAATTAAACAATCAAATCAAATCAAGTTTTATTTATATAGCACATTTATAAACGATTTTTGGTCGAGCCAAAGTGCTGTACATATAATAAAAATAGCCTACAGTAGAGACACTTTACAGCAAATACAACAGCACAGATTGTTCAGAATATCAGTATGAGAAAAACGGCTGAGGGGGTAAATGACGAAACTGTTTTACATTGATTCATTAAACCACTGCAAGAAACAGGCACAACAACACAGCCTTGTTATTCTTTATATGCGTAACTGTATTCACCCTGCAGAGAACTAACAAGCTGTGTGCTTCAACAGGAAACGCAAGAACGAAAGAATAAGAGTCGGTGGGAATTGATCAAGGAAACTTTGAACGACGAATTTACATGTCAACTCGAGTTGAAGGCAAGTTTCACATCTGTGCGCTATCCTTTTATTTGCAGGGCCTAATACATTTCACTCTGTAAAACAGGCATTCTGCACTGCGGCTGTTGTTACCAGACTATGCCATAAGATGGCGTCATAAGCCCAGAAACTGAGAGGCACACAGTATCTGAGAATGTTACTATTTTGGCCATTATGTTTGTTATTTTAATACACAAATGTAGTAATACTATCTTAAAAAGATTCATTTAGATTCTATATTTCAAATAATTATTGAATTTGTTTTTAACAGAATGCCATTTTGAAGTACAGTTCCTCACAGGCGAAGAAATGGGACTTCACCGCATTGCGACTTTACTGCACAAAGGTAAAGAATATCAATGATTCCAGATGTAGTGACTAAGGTTGAATGTTCTTGTAATTGTATTTATCATAAGAGTGAGTTAATTAATACTGGCATGCAGATGGACACACATGTTGAAGTTGTTAGAGGGTTAGCTGACTAATGAAATCTCATCTGTCCCATCATGATACTTAATTGCCCGACAGAAGGCATCGTAAAGCAGTGTTTCTCACAGAGCTTGGGTCAAAGAGAGTACAGATGTCTCATCAGGTAGTGAGGATAATGTCTTCAGTTTGTGGATGAAAAAGTAATATGGATGTCTCATTTGACACCAGATTAGATTTAGTTTAGTATAACCAGTATTTAAGTGGGATTGTGAATCAATATCGATCAATAGGCCTACTTTGCAGCCATTTTCCCTTTCTTCTTGGAAACGCAGAATAATTCAAAGTTATGCAGTACAATTAGTCTCTCATAGACTGAGCTGATACTGTTTTTAAAGTAAATATCTAGCTAAGAGTGGTAATAACATTTTTAAGTTTTTTGAAAATGTTTGTTCTATATTAGCAAATTGATTCTCAAGCATTGTGAGTGCATTTTTGCAGCATTACACAAACAGAGGCACAACACTTGCTCCAAGTTTGTACAATACAAATAATTGGACATATTCTATGCTTTTGTGCAGTTTAGAGTTCTGAAACTCAGATTACCTGTCCCCAGATAACCCCGTGTTGCGTTATGATGGCCAGAGCTCTGTTTGTTTATTGGTTGTTGCTCAGAGATGTCAGTGCGTTTTCCAGCCTGGTTCGAAGGCCATCCATCATCTCCTGTCCTGATGCGCTCTGCCTCATCCTTTGTACAATCCAGAAGGGCTGTACTACTGTCTGGTTCATGAAAGGAATAGTAATCTTCCATTAGTACAGATGGGCCATCTTGTGTCATGAGTGTTTGATTTAAGAAATTCTGAGCATGTAAGAATAGACAAATAATAGCCTTTATTTTCCTTGTAGTAAAAAGCACTCATCCACTCAGTGCTTCATAGCATCACCTTGAGTTCATGATGTTTTTTACAATATCTCAGGAAAGGAAGCATAATTATGTAATGCTTGTTTATATGAAAGCCATCATGTCAATTATTTAGTAATGGATTTTTCATAGGAGAATGTTGAAGCCTTTCAGAGGCAAAGTGGGAGTCCAGAGAAATATTTTAACATTTAGCTGAAAGGTCAAAGTTTAGTAAGTTGTCAGAAATGAAATGGCATTACATGACATTACATCCTAGAAAACGATTTACTTCAGCCTTATACTCTTGAGTCAATTGTGTGCCATATATGTCATAAATCATGTCGAATGGGATTTTTGTTGGATACATTCTGAACATGTTGAGAGGCTTTAGCCGTAGGCAAAGTTTTGTTGTGGTTGGATTTGAATTGTATCAAGTCAACTTGGATGGAAAGATTAGATTTTGTCTGACTGCAAAATGTCCAGTGCCATTACATCTATTGAAACAAATATCTGCTAACCGTTCCCACCCCACGCCTCGTCACCATGGGTGCTCGGGCTTTTAGCTGCACTGCTCCCAGACTCTGGAACTCCCTCCCCCCGCACATCCGACAGTCAGACACAATCACCATATTCAAATCCCAATTAAAAAACCCACCTGTTCAAATCTGCCTACTCACTGTAGTGCTCCCCATTATATGTTTCATTTGTGTCCACTTGACTGTCTCCTCCATGATTTCCTGTTTGTGTTTTTATCATGTTCTGTTGCCGATTAGCGTTTTCTTTCTTTTTTTTTAACAAATTGTACGGTGTCCTTGGGTGTCATGAAAGGCGCCTAAAAATAAAAATGTATTATTATTATTATAATATGGATTTTAAACGAGGTGTCACATCAATTGTAGCTATTGCTTTGTCGGTTCATAGTGACGGTGGTTTGTCGGAGTAAGTAAACACATAATGAAAGTGTCACAGATGTGTTTCATTTTAGATATTTTTCAAGTCACTTTTTAGAGTCGCGTATAAGTCATGGTAGCGCACACTTAATAGATTGGCTTTATTTATGCTCCATATTATTGCAAATTTGACACACACAGTTCCTCTTGACAAAGTCTGTTTATTGCCTCGGCCCCTCTATAGAATGTATTCACTGCTTAAGTGAGTGGATATATCTGCGTTTTGTTATAGTTGATTATGCAGCAGAGGCAGTAGCAATTAGGCTTCGTACATATCTCACAGCCAAGGATATATAGTGTTGGTATTTAACCTATTTTATTGTAAAAACCAATCACAGAGTATTTTATAAGTCTTGTTTATTTCCAGTGCAACCCACAGGCAACATGAGGAAAGGCAAACAATGCAATTCTACCTACTCCATTTTCCCCTCTGTTACTTTTCCGTTAGAGATTTCAGCTTGGAGACCCTGGAGCAGGCTTTTTGTGAGTGTCGGAGACATGAATGGCATGGAGTGACGGGCTGGGCAACCTCATTGAATATTCATTCCTGCACAATAACCTTATGAATATGTGAAAAGCTGTTGACGGACAGCATTGGTTTTTGTCAATTTCGCTTTCTCCATCACAACCAGTGTTGTATTTACGGTTATGAGCACGCAAGCGGTTTATTTTGACACGGCCACACGTCCACAGAAGTAGTCAGGCGGATTGCTTTATTGCTCGGACCTGTGGGGAATAGGAACCCCCGAGCATCAGGAGTTGTGTTAAATCTGAATCTGGTTTCTTACTGCCCACACTCGCACATCTTGCTTGATTACATTGTCAGTTGGGTGTGATGTACAGACCTGTATCAAGTCATACAGAGTGTTACTTCAGTTGATTTGATGCAGTGTCTTCTGCTGATTTAAAGAGCTTGGCTTATACTACCTCAGCTATATCCCAGTCTCGCCCTGTCAACTGCCGTCATTTATTACGCCCCTAGGGGCAGTTTATGATGTCAACCAGGTCATTACTTATGACAGTGTTTAGTCAGGCTTCCTTTGCCATAATATAAATGTCCTTTGCTAAAACACAAGTCAAGGCTCCTTGTCTTGGACACACACTGTCCTTTCAGTTTCAAATGCTTGGCCATTTGCATCTCTTCCAGGAAGACTGTTTAATCAGCTGGCATGGCTGTGCGTGCAACCTTGATTGAATGCATCTGTGATTGATCATTCTGACATTTCGTAGCCAATATGGCTGAAAATACGGGTAGTATACACTGTATATTGTCTACTTTACATTAGAGCACGTAGGCAGTGTTGTGGAGTCATGTATGATGTTACTTTAATATGTTTTTCTGGTTGGTGATGTTATTATATACAAACTGTTCAGCTGAAGCCAGATGTATTTTAATTATAGCTTTCACAATCCATTTAAATATAAAGTCCAATATGAGATTAAAGACAGTTATTCATTTTTCCACTATTTGTCTTACATCTGCATTTATTTTGTACTTGATTTAAATACGTTATTGCCTTTTGATGTTCTGTATAGTTTACATTTCATTACTTTAAGTTTCTCAGTGAAATTGTACATTTTGCCGTCAATGCCAAGTTGTCAATTGAATCAACCCTAACAGCTAATAATGTCACAGCTGAGTTTTGTGGCAAAACAACAAACATAAACAGATCTCTTGCTCTCTCCAAGGTCCTGGAGCCTGATGCTGCTGAACATCTGTTTGACTCCCTGCTGCCAGACATGGTGCAATTAGCACTGAGAGCATCTGAGCTCTGTACCAAGGTAACATAACTAACCAACAGGCACTGACTCACTGGTCCGTGACAAAGTAGATCACCGCAGCAGGTTGATCCCACTGGTCACGATATGATAAATATCATGGTAGTACAAATGGTGAGGTCAAGGGACGTAGCTATTGATGGTCATTTCTCTGATGTTTTAAAGTCCTCTTGGTCATCCGCTGCTTTCAAGTGCGGATGATGAAGAGCAATGTGAGTTAGCAGCTGAAAAAGTGTCATTGTGTAGCCATTTGCAAGTCATTTAAGTTGTATATCTCTGAGTGTTAAATTGATCAAGAATGACCTTTTTATATAAACATATTAAGTGGCCCACACCACAAGAAAAATATTAATTAATCGAACATGTTTGTGTTAAAGCATTTAGTGTAGCAAATTCTAGCATTGTAAGCCATAAACAAGTGTGTATTTTAGTGTAAAAATGTATTTATCATTTTTATAATTAGCTATTTTCTATAACCAAATGTATTTTTTGTCTACAAATTAAACATCGAGTGGCTAGCTAGTCTATAAGTCTGTGTTTGAGATAGAGGAATAGATTGATATTAAAGTCAACTGAATGGGCTCTTGCATTGATCTGATCTACTACCACATACAAATCTGTGTCAGATTGATTTGAAAGGACCTCCATCATTCATATTGTGTTTTTTCTAAATTGGTAACTTGTATCTTATCACTTACCTTTCCTGTTTATCTCTCTTCCCTAATTCAACAAGCACTCCCAATCGCCGTGACAGAATAGCTTTTACAGATGCACTGTTTATTTATGCCGTTATCAGGAGTATGAATCTCTTGTGAGCAAAGGACGATTGTGATTATGATTGAAGAAGCATGGAGTGGTGCCAAATTTGTGCATTTACGTACTTCAGTGTCTCGTTTGGTAAATTGATAAAACAAATTACTTTGACCTTCCTAAATTGTACCTCTATTCCTCCTCTAGCCGATACCCCTCCTTAAAGAAGGCCTGGACCACTCCATCACCGTGTCTCAGGAGCAGGTGGCATGTCTGCTCGCCAACGCCTTCTTCTGCACCTTCCCCCGACGCAACTCCAGGAAGACTGAGTACTACAACTACCCAGACATCAACTTCTTCAGGTAATGCGACGGTGTGGTGCCTTCATACCTAATGTTCAAATAATCAGTTTGTAAATGACGCTGCTGGGACAACTTGTTTCATTTCCATGAGAGGGCACTACTGTATACGTTTTCGCTATAAACCATTTTATCTTCCTGCTGGGTGTTAAAGCAAGCATTTACATTGTGTGTAGATTGTATGAGCAAAAGCTATCTTTACAGTGATTAGAAAAAGGTGTCATGACATTTGAAAGAACTTGATGTGTCCTTTTGCCTGCAATACTTACAAGAACTTTACACTATAATGCTATTTGTTGGCCAATCTATCTTTCTTTGGCACTTGTCAGTTTTAAAATAAATATGAATACAGTTCTTTATGTGTAGTTAAGAGCCAAACCTTTCCCTTTAAAAGCATCACATAGGAAAAAGATTAATGCAGGAGTTGTTTTTATTCCAGCAAGCTTTTACTGTAGAGATGGTCTGGGTGGTGTAATGCCAAAACAGTCTGCAGGCCTCTGCTCAGTCTTGTCCCCCATCTCTTTTGGCATCACAGTGTAATTAGCTAAATGGAGGTCAGAATTAGATTAACATTGACTCAGATGGCTGCTCTTGACAATGGAGAAAGCCATTGGCTGTTTTGCAGAAGGCTGTTACAGAGTTCAATTGCATCAGCATTTCATTCACATAAAGGTTTTGCTGCGATTTGAAAGGAGAGCCCAGTCATCTTGTTAGCCTGCCGCTAAAAATGTCCCTGAATCACCGATTTGGTGCGAGCCAGCTTTGAAAGTTGTGTTTTTCTTTTATTGTTATTAAAACTGTTATTTTCCTCTGCATTTCTGTTTCAAAGGAATAAGAAGAGGAAATAAAAACAAAGCTGTTTATCTTCCGATGTTATTCTACCTCAATAGAGACTTCTTGTTTGCAATAAACTGCACAAAAACCGATTTATCACAATGCAAATATGAAATCTACAATGAGATAAAGCTGACTATTACAAGTATTTTTGTTTTGTTTTTTGGCTTAATAAAATGGTGGACCTGTCAATCAACGGATTCATCAAAAGCAAACTTTATTTATAATTTGACCACAAAGTGCATTTAGCTTTTCTTGTTAAATGTTTTCTTATTCTGATGATTGAAGAACCCAACCGCTGTACATACTGTGGTCACTTATCCCCTTTTGTCCAGTTACATAATAACTTTTTTGTATACATCTATGGGAGGTCTATTGATGTTATATAACTTTATTAATTCTCTCTTTCCCCAAAGAGAACATGTTACTAAAAGCCTGCTCTTACTAGTGGCCAGCTCATGTCAAAGACTTATGCCCTGAAGACTACACCACACACAATGGTTTCTAGGGGCAACACTGGATGCGGGAGCTGACTTGGACGAATGCGTCTCTCGGCCCCTGAAGGGCTCTCAGTGCATCAAGCTTTTGTCGTTATTTCATTTCACTCGCATGACATTTTCTTTCTCTTTAACGTGGTGTATGAGGAGGGCTGTTGCGTTCTTTACAGAGTTTAGGTTACAGAGATGGTGGGCTCAATGCTGCATTCAAACCCGCCCACTGCACCTCGCTACCAGCAGCTTTGTGTGTTATTTTTCAGGAGGATTGACCTTTTGCCTCCTGAGGACTCTGTTGCTTAAAAGCAACACAGGGCTTCTTAATGTACCCCCGAGGAGGGAGCCCTGGTTCCCTCTCTGTTCTGTTCCCTTTTTTGTGTGAGTGCTGTGAAGTAGCTCACCAGTGTGACTCGCCTCGGGCCACTCCATTGTCGTAACAGCGAAGGAGCTCCTGCATAATCGGATAGTGACTGAAAGGGAAGCTGAGTGAGAGATGAACCAATTCATATCAAAAGTTAAAGCATGACTGAACTCACATGGCCAAAGTGGAGGTCTTGTGTTTCGACGCACTGGAGAGTCATGTTTCCCACTCATGGCTCTAGTTGTTTAACCAGTGGATCACTGAAAGAGTTGGTCGTTGGCTCTGATGCTGTGAATAACCTGTTCGCCAAAAAAGACATATGTATCCTAATATCAAAAAATCTCTTCCTGCCTTCAGGCTCTTTGGCGGGGGCTCTTCAAGCAAGATTGAGAAACTGAAAACCCTGGTTTGCTATTTCAAAAGTGTCACTGAGCAAAGTAGGTGTTACAATTTCATTTGAAAATGTTTGCAATATGTTATTGATGCAAAGTGATTTTATAAAAGAGAATCATTCCTTACTTCCCTTTTTTGCTTTTCAGCGCCGACCGGACTTGTGACATTCACACGAAAAAGCTTGGATAGACCTCTGAATTGGAAAAGGTGAAGTGTATTGACACTGTTCAAAGCGTAGTAGTAGTATGTCAATTGTTTCTGCCATTAAAAATACACTGCAGCTTGCTAAATACTAAAACTAAAAGACTGTTTGGAAGCAAGTAAGAATCCATGGTCTCAACTTTCATCAATAACTAACAGACATTATTCATTCGTTATGTTTCAGCTCAGAGGCTCAGCTCACAAATCTCCACATCACTTGTGAAGGAACCATTGAGGATGATGGTTATGGAATGCTTCAGGTAAGAATAGTATAGCAATAGTGTTCACTAGTGAATATACAATGTCATTATTGTTACTTTAATGGACTTAACCTCGCAGTATCCTTTATTTTTGCTTGATAAACGTCTGCGATATACTCCACCCTGCTTGGTTCCCATCCCCTTTTCCTCTGATGTAGTCAGTCACTAAGCCACCACATTCTGGAGTCTTTCACCCAGAATGCTTACGACTGCTGAAAAGGCCTTTTGAGGGAGCTGGTGGCACGTCGGAGGGAGTGTGTGCTGGGACCGGGGTCGAGGCCTCTGAGCCTCCTCTGCTCTCTGTGTCGGCCCTGCTTCCTTTACTCTGTCAGGACGGCCCGCTCTGCCTTTCACCTTTTGTTTGCCTCCAGTTGCCACAAGCTGACAGTTGATGTGCACACATGACCAGCCCCGGGGTACGCCGTGGCCCGGATTGATGGATGCTCTGCTGGGGTGCGGGGGGGTGGGGTGTGTGTGACAGCCTGTCAAAGCAGACTTTAGAGGCTCGCTCGCTGTCCCAGTGTTGAGTGACCAGTTTGGGAAGATCTGCGGCTCGTTCCTTTGAAGCCTCTTCTTTGGGGTTGTGACGGGGTTGGCGTGTGCTGTCTTTAGGCCAATGAGCAACAACTGTCAGGGAATTCAATAATAAGTTCCACACGGCTGGTTTCTGACTAAAACCATGACTCGTCACGTCTGTTTCATGAGCTGAAACGATGAGCTTTCTTTTGAATCATAAACAGACCAAACAAGTAAATCAGTGACACCCATAGATTTGCGCACACAGCACAAGCAGCAAGCTACAGCACAGGCACCAGTCGGCCGTCGATTTAGCAGCATGTTATGACTGGAGGGAGATTTTTACTCTGGACTGCAGGACTCCGCTCTTGTTTTTTTATATTTGCTACTGGCAGCAGCAGGCCTAAGTGCTGCTCCTGGGGAGAGCTCATTTTGGCATGGGGGACAGACGTCTGAGTAATGTGAGCACCTCAGGACACCTTCCCAATCAGCATGTCAGGGATTCTGTCACAAATAAATAAAATAAAAAAGCCTGAAACCTTTTCATGAAGGGTTTTCCACCTACTGTCCAAGTTTGGGAAACTACACGTTAACAGTCAAAGAACATTTTTTTGTTCTATGAGCATGTGACTGCAATATTCAGTCCATGCTGCAAGGGATGTTTCAGTGTTTTCTTCATAACGTGTCATCCATCTTGATTTGCAGGTGGATTTTGCCAACCAGTTTGTGGGGGGAGGAGTCACCAGTTCTGGTCTAGTCCAGGAGGAAATCCGTTTTCTGATCAACCCTGAGCTTATTGTTTCTCGCCTCTTCACTGAAGCCCTGGATCATAATGAATGTCTGATCATCACAGGTCAGTGATAATAAAACTCCTCCACACATTGGGTAAAAATACAAAAGAAATCCTCTGAAGAAATCTTTTTTCTATTCAATCATTTATGCTTTAATCTTTTGATCCAGATCAGATTAATAGTGCCCCTGGGTTTACTTTCTTATGCTTGACCTATAATTAGACAGAAGAAACAGAAGGCGTTTCTGGACACACAGAGCATACAGTATACACCTTCAATGTACCCATTCCGGCACAGCATGAGGCTTATTTTTTTCTGTATATTGCCCTGTTTTCTGTATCTGTCCTTGTCCCATGTTGCCTTTTGATTGGCCCAAAGGTAAGGGAAGAGTCGCATCAGTCGGGAGTTGTAGATTGGCCTGTCCTGATTGCTCAGCTGGTGTCTTTCTGTCATGTAACTCCCACAGACTACTTCAGTATTGAGTGGTTGTGACAGGCCAGTAGATGTAGTAACAACCGCTAGACGTATGAACCTCAGGAGGAGGCTGATTGCTGTCCTGTTTTTTTCAAACTGCTCAACACTGTTGACTCTTTGCTTGATTGATTTGGATGGAGAGTTTGGAAAACAAAAGTCATGTTATATAGTAGTTGCTTTTATAACACTAACGGAAGTTTACTTTTATCCAGTAAAACCATTTAAAAAAAAAAAAAAAAATCACAAGATAAGTTTATCACAAAAGTAACTTAAGGGAATAATCAGGCATAAGAATTAGAGTAAAAAAAGGTAGCTTTTTGAACTTTTTACTAGTATTTTTAATAATAAAATCAGGAATGCACAGATTGTATAGCAGGATAACCAAAAATCATCAGTACCTCTATTTTAATAGATGCAGTGAGCCCTTTATTAGTAGAGCATGGTATAGCTGACATAAATTAAATGGATTTTATTTATAGAAAAATACAGCTCTTGCCTTCTAACACAGTGAATTCCATTTGGGTCCATATAGATCTTACATTATGACATTACAGCAACTATCATCAATATCTTTTAAGCTCATTGTTTTGGATTTACGTCCATTTTGTTTTGGTTCTCTCTGACCCTATAACCTTGCTTTCCAACACAGTCAGAAATCGTTTGATAAACTATCGCGCTGATAAACTATCGATACTATCCATGTCTAGCACCAAATATTAGCTGCTTATATAAAAAAAACAACTTCTGATTACATTGGAGATAAATGTGTCTTGAAATTATACATTTAAATATATTCAAGTGCATCACGTAAACCACTGTTACAACACATAAACTCACTGACCATAAATATATTACCAAGATGCATGACCAGGGGGTGGATGAGCAGGAAGTGAGGCAACAGAGCCACCGCCCTCCTGATCAGCATCACACCACTGCAGCAGATCTTCTGTGCTTGGTGGAGTCACCTTCAGACTCCTTGCTGGCCATCTTTCCCTCGCTTCCACTTACGCCACTTAACTTTATTACCCGGGCCCAGAATTAATTATAGCTGGAAGACCTGCCCAAGAGCTGCTCCGCTAATGGACTCTCCCATTCCATCATCTTTATTAAACCCTTCCCGCATCTCTTGTCCTCCGTCCTAGCAGCCAAGTCTAAGCCCTAGCTGCGTTGTGGCCATGTTGTAAATCATGTCCCCCTGTCATGTTCTTTGGCATACAGCACGGAAGCTAATGGATCTTACCTCTGCAGTGACGTTTGCAAAAGTGCCCGGGCCTAATTGAATTTATCCTTGATTGCTAGATATGTGGCTGCCATTGGAGCGGTCAAACGTATAAACTGCATCAAGGTGAAGTCATGTGATTCATAGATGGAAATAGTGAGCAGCAACTGTGGTGCATTAGATACAGACATTTCTTGCCCACAATATTGCTTCACCATTAAATGTTACCTTCTCGTTTCTCACTTTTACCTCAACATGGCAATGAGATGCGCTCCTGACCTTTTTCTGTCTCTGGTTCACCACCACTATGAGACAGTTTGTTGTGATGTATTTACACATGAAAGGAACAACCTTCAGGAGCACCGCACATTATACCTGGTGATTTTTATGCAACCTTTTTGTCATTTAGAAATCATTTTGAACAATCAGACACATCTTTGCCGGGCCAAGATTGATCTGATTCGCACTGCAAAAAATATCATAATTGATATTGTTCATGAAGGTTGTTCCTTTCAAACGCAAATATGGTTAATCATAGAGTTGATATTCTTGGAGGACCATTAAAGGTCAGATGTATGAATACTTTAGACAGGGCGGCAGGGCATTGTATCAGTTATGCAAATGTCCTTCAGTGGTCTCCCGTAGTAACTTGAAACAATTCTGAAACTTTCATAAAGTAACTTGTATTGAAAAGCTTTTTTAAACCCCGTCCACAAATTATTTATAACACAAATTGTGGTATTGAACAGCAAAGAAAATAACAAGAGGTTCTCTTATCATCTTGTTGAATATATTTGGAAGATAATGGGGTATTTTCCGTTATCTGCCACCTGTGCCAGTTTACTGTCCAGTCTTATGAACTAGAAGAGTTACAACTCCGCACAAACTTTGTCCATAAATGCTACTCTTTAAGTTTAGTGTAGATACATATTTTCATTTATTATTGCAAATCTGTTTGTAGCCAGTTGTTGGATTTTAAGAAACTGTCTTTGATGCCCCTGTGGGTTCATCTTGAGAGGGTGTGGCTGTGCTGCATCCAGCCGCCTTGATTGTAGTAACTCAGGGCACCTGGATCTGTTGGCCTGCAGCTTTTTAAAGCCTCTGCTCCTCTCTGTCTTCCCTCTGCTTTCTCATACATTCTCTGTTGGGTTTGTCTTTTGCCCATGCGTGTTGGCAGGTTAACACTTTGCTTTCTGATTGGTTACTTATAGGTAATATATTATGGCTTCTTTGTTGGCGTTTGTGGATGCGCCCTCAGTGTCTTTCTTAGATGATTGCAAGAAGGCGCAGTTGGTCGAAATAGCAAAGCATTATAAAATTGCTGTTGTAGGGAGCAAGCGGAAAGATGAGATTAAAGCTGTCATCGTGTCACCTTTGTTTGAGCAGAGGGTGTTGCAGAAGAGTGAGTCTGCTGCGGCAGGGGTCGGTAGTGGCTCAGACAGCTGGTTTGACGTTCGAGCAGCAAAAAGAGCTTTTGGCCATGCTGTTTGAGCAGGAGAAGTTGAAGTTGGAGTTGGAGCAGGAGAAGTCGGAGTTGAGGTTTGAGCAGGAGAAGTTGCAGGAGAAGTTGAGGTTGGAGCAGGAGAAGTTGCAGTTGGAGTTGAGGTTGGAGCAGGAGAAGTTGGAGTTGAGGTTTGAGCAGGAGAAGTTGCAGTTGGAGTTGAGGTTGGAGCAGGAGAAGTTGGAGTTGAGGTTTGAGCAGGAGGAGTTGAGGTTTGAGCAGGAGAAGTTCCAGGAGAAGTTGAGGTTGGAGCAGGAGAAGTTGGAGTTGAGGTTTGAGCAGGAGAAGTTGCAGTTGAGAGTTGAGGTTGGAGCAGGAGAAGTTGGAGTTGAGGATTGAGCAGGAGAAGTTGGAGTTGAGGTTTGAGCAGGAGAAGTTGGAGTTGAGGTTTGAGCAGGAGAAGTTGGAGTTGAGGTTTGAGCTAGGGGATAAGCAGACACATATGGAGTTTATCCGTGATTTGACTTCTCATTTTCAGCTGTGGTGCGCGGCGGCAAAGGTTGCCAGTTTTGATGGTCTTTGTGAGCTGATTGTATTGGAACAGTTTAAAGATGTTATCCCTCAGCGTGTGACCACTTACTGTATGTAAATGAGCAGAAGCCTTCCACCGCGCTTAGAGCTGCCGAATTAGCGGATGATTTTGTGTTTTTGCATTAGGGGAGTTTTACAGAGAAGTGTTCTAGGGGTGATTGGAGACGTGGAGAAGATGGTGGCTATTCCCGTGGTGGTGCAACATTTTCACCAGGCTCCTCCCGTAGATTTGAAGGTCCGGGGCGACTTAGCTTGAATGACTTGGCTGCATACACAATTTATATACAAGTTAGGTACCATGTTATACTGTCCATTCTGCCTCTTTGCTCGTCTGTTTTCTGTAAATAAAGTATTTGTGAACCAGTTTAGGTACTTGAATGTCTTGTTTGGGCCGTAATTGTGCTTATTACTTTAAAAAGTGTAAGGCAGGATGATTATAAGTGAAATGTCTGTCAAGCAGACTGCGCTCTAGAGACCCCCT